TTTTTGTTATCACCATCCTAATTTTTATTGCGGTCATGATTCATAATTACCACCACCTGTCATCCTGATCCTGATATGTACGGAGTGGTTATGTGACTGAGACAGATGATTCATTGATCTCCTGCTTAAACTAATAGAATTCCATTGTATTGTAATAATATCTAACTAATAGAACTCCTTTGTGGTAAGTGAAAATTGTGGCTCCTGTGTTATTTGTAGTACTTGAGAATTTTTAAATCATTTTAAGCATTTTTCTGTATATTTTAGTGGGGATAACTCCGTAATCTTTTAATTTTTAAATTTTTACCTTTTATAATTTTAGATTTTAGAGAATTATAAATTCACCTTATGATACCATGTATAAACTCATTTTATAATTTTTTCCTATTATTTTAGTGTACCCTATTAGCTTTTATATGCTAAAGACATCGACACTTAAATAAAGTTGTTATCTTATGTTATATTATTTTATATTGTGCTCACTGTAAGGTCAAAGCAAGAGGAGTTTTAGATAAATATGATGAAGAAATCGAAGGAGAACAAAAACAGTCATTTGTCCTAGGTAAGCATGTCTTGCAAAAAGTGAAGAGGTGCTTTTGATAATGTTCGCTAAATGACTTGTGATGCATAGTCCCTTTAGCTCCATTGTTAACTGGTTATGTTAGGTTTGTTTTCTCAGAATTTCTTGCAGTGTCTTCAGAGCGGTTTTCCATTTTCATCTTGTGTAAAATTTACTTGTCTACTTGTATTCTGTAGAGTGCTCTGATATCGTATCAACTGAAAGCATGTTGGTCACTTGTTCATCAGTTAGATAATGCGGATGCATCTTAATAACATCAGTCAATTTTGCGTCACATTTTTGTTACAAATTATTTTTCTATGAGTTAGAACCTATGCCCTGCTGAAACATCATTAGTGAGCCTTAAGGTAATTTCCAAAAAATGAGGAAACAATATGAGGAAAGGGCTTAGTACCATACTACTTGTAAATAATATGTGAAACTACGTGACATGGTGAAGGGAGAAAAAGAAAAAGGGCTAGAGGAAGAGGACTGATTGTCAGAGAATGACACCAAGCCCTTGGCAAAATCCTAGTAGTCCATAGGCATCTTGCAGCTCTCAGTCATGTGCCAGGATTATTAATTTCTGTCTAGTTATGTCAGTCATCAGAAAAATGTCTGCCATTTTGTATTATCTCACTGACAACAGCTGTTTTAAAAGGAAATATACGTCTAAGCCTGCAAGTGTTTGTGATTTCTTAGAGAGGCAAGACCATAAAATTTTCAGAAAAGTTTCCAATGCCAAAGGACATCCACTTTTATCTATTATGCTTCGTGTTAAACCCTCCAGCTACAATCTTAGGAAAGAAACTTGCTTTAATCCTAAGATTAACACTATGCGATTTAAAAACTCTTTTATTAATCGTTTAGTTTTTAAATATGAATTAGCTATGTAATATACTAGATATATATGCCGGTATATATTTTTTGAATTCTTACTTTTTAACTTTTTAAAATTTCTTACACTTACTTGTAACAAAAGATATGTATTTTTATCTCTTGATGAATAAAGACTTTATTACTATTATTATTATTATTATTATTAAAATTAATGCTGTTGTTTGTAGGTTCGGGAGGAACATATGACACATCAAAAGAAGATGAAGTGAAAAAGGTACGTCGCTCACATTTAGTTCAAAGTGTCTTCATTCTCCACTTAAGAAATGAGAGGGCAACTGAGGCTATTTGATTTTGCAAAGACTTCTGGGACTGTTACCGGGAAGAGGAGAAAACATTGGCCAATAGCGGGCAAGCAAGTCCCCAGTAACAATCCCAGAAACAAAAGGGAGTTTTAGATTCGAGGACGGCTACTGCAGCGAAAGCGTCACTTTTTCAATGAATTAGTGTTTTTCAAACTTTATCGCGTTTATTCCAATTCACTGAAAATGTCTCATGTAGGCAAATATCCCTGGAATTGATTTCTTGGGGACTGCACTAAAGTTTAAAAAGGGAAAATTACTTCCTCCCTAAAATGTGAAATTAGGCACTTTCATGTTGTAGTCGTGCAGCAACGGCAAAGAAATGTACAAAAAAGCGTGATGCACGTGCAAACTTGTTGTTTTGCTTAATAAAGCTATTTCTGTTTTGACGTTCTTGTTGCTGTCGCCGTCGTCATTGTTAAAACTCCCTAATTGTGCGATGCATTTCAGCTCCAGTTTCCATATTGCTTCTAAAGTGGTGAAAGTATAACTTGTAAAATTGTTCTCTTACATCAACCCGCTGTTTGACTGTGTAAAAATGGCAACTTTCGAGATGACTACACGATCAATGGTTGTACTTAATTTCATGTTTTCCTTTTAGATACAAGCCAAACTAAAAGCCCAAATGGTAGGTGTATATTAAGCTATAAAAATAATCATACATAATGTACTTCAGCTATTGCAAAAGCTTCATTCCTCCGTACTGAAGAACTGGTAAAAAGAAATGGCCTAGCTTGAACAC